TTAATAAATGACAAATTAAAAAGGCATGAACATTTTTTTGTATCGAAAAAATATCGAACCGTGACACCAAAGTATCGAACCGAACTGAACCGTGAATTTTGTGTATCGTTGCACCCCTAGTAATTAATTTTTGCATCTTTATATTTTTAGCATTTCAGTCTAGGTCAGGATAAATTTCACAATTAAAATTTCTAACTTATTTAACATAAGGCCAAGAGACAATAAGGATTTCACTTAGTCCTAAAACAAAATATCCATCCATCCATCCATCCATCCATCCATCCATCCATCCATTCATTCTCTTCTGATTATACTTGTCAGGGGGTGCTGGAGCCTATCCCATCTACCATAGGGCAAGAGGCAGAATACACCCTATACTGGTCACCAGTCTGTCACAGGGCAAACACATATAGACAAACAACCATTCACACTCACATTCACAATGTAGAATTACCAATTAACCTAACCCCACTGACAAAACAAAACAGAATAAATATTGCTAAATCTAATAACTATTTTGGCCACCATAGACACACTTTAATTAAAGCCTTCTTTTGTATATTTTTTTCAGATTGAGAGGCTGTAACCTCACAGAGAAAAGCTGTGAAGCTCTCTCCTCAGTTTTCAACTCACAGTCCTCTAGCCTGAGAGAGTTGGACCTGAGTAACAATGACCTGCAGGATTCCGGAGTGAAGCTTCTGTCCACTGGACTAAAGAGTCCACACTGTATGCTGGAAACTCTCAGGTCACATCAAGAGACATTTTGTTTTTCATCAACAGACCAAAATTGCCAATATTATTATCTTCTCTCATGACTTTGCAGTTTTAGTATTGATTTTAAAATCACAGAAAACTGCCACATTTTTGTTTATTTTAACATAAGGCAATGAAGATTCCAGTTGGTCCTGAAATATTGCCAAATCTATTGTTTTCTTGTCGTACCTTGAATACGCTTTAACACCAGTGCTATTATGTTCTTCTTCATAATTTTTCAGACTGAATGTATGTAATCTGTCCGAGAGAACCTGTGAAGTGCTGTCCTTATTACGCAGTTCCCAGTTCTTTAAACTGAGACAACTGGACCTAAGTAACAATGACCTGCAGGATTCAGGACTGAAGCTTCTATCTGCTGGACTGGAGAGTCCAGATTGTACTATGGAAACTCTCAGGTCAGGATTCAGACTTTTCAACTGATGATCATTTCACATATGAAAGGGGGAAAGAAAAAGAGAGCAGAGAGAGTGCGGACAAAGACACACTTGGCAAGAGAAAATCATATTTTAAATGCTTACTAATAATAAATGCTATAGAGCTGTTCACAGAGCGTAAAATGGATTGAGTAAAGAAGAGGATTAGTACATCATGAAAAACTCCTAGGATCCTAACCCTATTACAGCAAAACTGAGAGAGGGTCTGCCTCCTCTTCTACTTTCAGAAACTCTAGAAAATAAGTCTGCTGTCAAAGGGAGAAGTGGGCAGTGTTATGTGTAAAGAGAAGGATTTTAAAATCACTTATGGATTTCACAGGGAGACAATATGGGTGAAATATGGTCTTTTCCTTCTATTCCCTATCATTTCTCTCACTCAGACATTTCCAATCAAGTGACGGCTTTTTCTTTTTTTTTTTGATTAACCAAATAGAAGCCTAACTCCACCAGGACTAGGAACTTTTCTTTGTGCAAGGAAGATCAAGATGAACATATCAAATCCGGTTCTTTTCTGAATTCTTTTGGCGACAGAGAAAGACTGGACTCAGTGTGGTCAAAGCTCAAAAAATAAGCTTTATTGTACATTTCCAGAAACGGAGAACTGCAGACACGAGCACACACCCACAGTTCTGAAAACATTGCAAGCTATTATTTCACCCGTCTCACCCTCCAGATGTTTCCTGTTGACTTATTCATTTCATGCTTATCTTTAACACCTCCTGCATCAACTGTTGCTATGCAAGCACAAAGCAAGAAAAATATGTTTCACCTCTACCCTAGAAATAAATCTACGTGATGTCTGTGTTTGTAAGCATGTTATGCATTAACCTTTTAGTTTTACTTCTGTCACCTCTCACCATGTATCACCTGGACAGTCCCGCCAGATGAAGCTTATGACCCTCAAAAGACTGAGTGCTTAGGTCTTTATGAGCACATTTTGCAGTATGTGTAAGAAAATGATTATAACTGCTTATTCTATCAGACATTTTCAATCAGTTAAGCTTAAGCATAAAGGCAATTACTTATGCATAGGTTTTACCGTACCTAAATTATCAAACACCCTTTCGACTATATTTGCTCCGGGCCTGCAAACCTGTGTTTAAGGAATAAAATCAGTTACATCTTTTGAACTCCTGGTTCCATCCAGAGCCTGCATCCTCCGAACTACCTAGAAACAAAACCTGTGTGTTAACATTAAGTTCACATTTGAAACTCAGTTTTTCCCGCTGTCCTTCCCTCATTATGATCCAATCTGTGCTATAAAAAACAAAACTTAAAACAGAACAGTTATCAGTCATGCGCTTCATACAAAATTTGTGTATGTTTTACTTTCACGCTGATCTTCTGAGTGTCATGGTTCTTCTTAATTTGACTTTATCAAAGCTAACCAAAATAGGTTTGCTTTCTTTACTTTGCTTGTTTTCCTCCAGTACCACCTCGTATCACACGCCCTTCCACTTGGACCAGTGTTTGTTATTCCATCACTGTACTTTGAATGTGACAAGTCTACCATTCCCCTATATAATTCCTAAATATTGCTTTGGTCCTGACTATTTTCCTCTATAAAATTTAATTGATTTCTACAGTGGCCTGTTATGGTTAATGGTAACATCAATGATATCAAAAATGTTCTTCCCTTTAGCATTTGGCATTTTCACAACAATATAATGTGTTACCCTTATCTAAACCCAGTCAATAAAACAAAATTTTCTTAAAGCAAACATCAGCAACCCAAAATTAGCAGCCGAAAGGTTAAGTCTGCAGCTCCACACTCTCATGTGAACCTCCAGTCTCTATTCTCCTGCTTCTGCTAAAAGCAAAACAAAGCAAAGCAAAGCATCCACCTTTCTCTTACCGGCATGGTGAATTATTTGTCAACATTTATTCATCCTAACCTTGGTCCAGTCTTTGTCTCATTGTCAAGTCAGTCAACACTTTAGTCCACATCGTCAGTCCAGTCACAGTCCAGTCACACACATTCATGCACACGCATTCACACGAGATATTGCGAATAGTGGAGACTTACGCGCAACCCATTCCAGTCTCCATCACCCGCAAAGTCATGTCATCGTTTTTAAAAGAAAAAAAACATTGTTTATGATTTTGGACTGGATTGACTCGCTGCAATCCTTTTAGACAGGAACTCACACGGTTCCCACAGGTAGCCTTTTCCTCAGCCCATTGTAATCTGGAAAAGCTCACCTTATATTTGCTCTCACAGAAATGTTTTACAGCGCTGTTAATTCAATCCACCAGGCCTGCTTACAACAAAGAATTAGAAAAAGAGAGCTGATTATTAACTCAAAGCACAAAACATCACCATAAGGGTGACACCTGACAGGTTTTCTCTAAGTGCACTGTGACAAAAATAATGGGCCCCTCCTAGACATGTCCATGTTTAAAACTCCCTCTATTGAACTAAGAAAACAACCCAAACCTAACTGACAGAATTAACCCATCACTAAAACAAAAACCCCAAAAATCTTAATCACAGAAAAATTTTGTTTACTAATCTAACAATAAGTTGTGGGAACTAGAACTTTCTGGGCCATAAAAGTTTTGCCCTACTCCTTAACTAATACTTACATGGTCTGAAATCAGACTTAAAAATCACTTCCTCTGTTCATTTTCCCCACATTATATTTTATTGCTGGTTGCCCTCAGGTGCTTCAGCGTCCTGGACAAGTCTGAGGTCAACTGACATAGTTTCTCCTGCTAAATACACAGAAAATCTTGTTAAGAGCACAACAGTACTATTGCCCATTAAGCACTTTCTAAACACTTTATAACAATGTATCATTACTAAATTATAAATAAATAACTAAATTTCTTCTCCAGATCTGCACTACTGCACTTAGTCATAGACTTTATTTAATTGTCCTATACCTAGCTTCACTCATGCAGTCAGACAGGAAACTTGAGTTTTTCTTTTTTTTCTTCTTTTCCTGTCTCGGCACGCACCCACGGTTATGAAAACATTGCAAGCTAAAATACACATATAGTTCTGCTATACGTAACACACACAGTTTCGATCAAAACAACTCCTTCTGGTCTGACTAATGTGTGTGTGTGTGTGTTACTTAGTTCCGCTTTTTCTGTCTGGTTTCCTGTAGTTTATTAATATGCCTCTGCAGCTCTGCACTAAACTTCCTGTTTCTTAACTTCCCCTTACTAAAGCCTCTGTTGCTAGGTGACCTGTCACCCTCTGACCTAGTTCTTTCTCACATCTGGCCTTGGTCTATAAAGGCCTCTATTATTAAAATACATAAAACAATATAATCAGAAAATAAGCACTAAGAATATATTTATTTCGTAACAAACACCACCAGAGCCCTAGAAAATGGCCTCACTACTCACTGGCACTTCACTACTGTGAATGTCTGGTTTAGTGTCTGCCTTTTCCACATTCTACACGCCACTAAACAATACAATTACACTTGTAAAATTATTGGATTAAATAACAACAAATAGGGCCATTTAAGAATATGAACAACCTTTGTGCAACTTCTTGATTGTGTGTGTAATAGAGAATTAATGACTTTGGTATAGCTGGAAAAATATTAATCAATTTCACCGTACAGAATCCATTTCTTAGAATTTCAATATTATAAAAATTCAAATGACACCTATTCCCAGTTGTAAACAATTATTTTGTTATAATTAAGTTAGATAATTTGCACTATTTGCAACAAACCACAACTTGTTTTCTATGACTATAAGAGATGCTGTAAGATGGGTGTGGATTTATAGTTCATAATAGCACAGAAACAACACTATTGAAGGTTACTATTGATCTTCTGTCACAAACAAGGATGCAGTGGACTCAAGAGCAGACTCAATTGCTCAAACTATTTGTGATTTATTGAAAGGAAAAGGAACTTAAACAAGACTGGGTCTAACAGAAATCATTCGCAGGAACTGAGGGAGACCCGAGGGCGGAGAAACGGATGTTGAACACAAGGAGAACACGGGCGGGAACTTCTGCAAACACAGGAGAAGGGTTTTACTGAATGGGATTCAATTAAAGGGCAGAAGTGAGTGGTACTAGTGGAGAGTCTTGTGCTTACTTGAAAACACCGGCTATTAGGCGGGGAAGGGGTTACCGTGGGAGCGTCCCAGGAATGGTTGAGAGTGTGGGGAAGCTGGTCCAGGTTCCAAGGTGTCCAGGGAAGTTAAAGTACGGGCTGGAGGGCAGGCTGAGGAGAAGGTGAGTGTGTGGTCCTAGGGTTCTAGGCAGACTGGAGAACGGGATCGAAACAGAACCAGCGCTGCTGATGAGTACGACGGGTGATGAATCTGGAGAACACAGGAGACGGAGAACACATTAACCCACGATCCAGGCACACAGAGTCCGAGCACAGAGGAGGCCAAGTTTACCAGGACGAACTGGCGAGGAGTGGCAGGCAGTGCTGGCTTAAAAACCCTCTAGATGGAGCCCCAGAAATTGGAAGCAGGTGATGAGCTGGCCAACTCCACCCCAGGGGACGGACAACAGGAACCTGGACCATACCTGACCAGACACTCCCACTGCATATGACAGTATCCCCTCCTCAAGGGTTGCCTCCCGGCGACCGTCCGGACTGGGCCCTGCGAAGGGAGGTGTGAAAGTCAGAAATCAGGGACGGGTCCAGGATGAGTGACCGGGGAACCCAAGAATGCTCTTCAGGGCCGTAACCCTCCCAGTCCACCAGGTATTGGGCACCACGACCGCGGCGGCGCACGTCAACGATCCTCCTGACCGAGTAGGCCGGGTGACCGTCAATGAGCTGGGCGGGGGGCGGGGGAACGGACGGTGGGCACAGAGGACTGCTACGGACCGGTTTGACCTGAGAGACATGAAACATCGGGTGGATGCGCCAGGAAGCCGGAAGCCTGAGTCAAACTGCCGAGGGACTGATGACAGCAGCAATCTCGTAGGGGCCAATGTAACGGGGTGCCAATTTCCGAGAAAGCGACCTTAA